CGCGACGCAACGATTGGCTTCCTATTGATCCGCGTCTATTGGTTCGCTGTAGCTCGCGGTTTCGGTATAAAAGGAGGGCGTCTTTCACGCGACACTCAGAAGCTTTCTGATCCGAGATCATTAACATTAGCGAACGCTGTCTATATTCTCGTAAGCGAGCCGAGACTCGCACGTTGTTTATATTCTTGTTGAGCGAGCCGAGACTCGCAACGCGACGGTAAGCCGAGTCTTATCGGTTATTATATTGTATCTGTATTACGAGGCCGAGTCCTCCCGATTAATAAACGTCATTATATATACGAAAATCAGTGTAAGGAGTGAACTTCCCTACGCATCCACAACAGATTCAGTAACAGAATCATATTCTTAAGTGTACATGGAATGTACTTTTTTTAATATGAATATGAAATGAATAGTTTTATAAGTTTCTTCTAATTTTTCCATGTCAAATTTCAAAACTATACTAATCGTAAATTGAAACTTGAAATTTTTTAAAATATTGTTGCAATATTAAAAAGAAACTTATTACATTTAAGAGGATGCTGAAAGATCGGAAAAATTTGCACGAGGTCAATAAAACAGATTTTTCAATGTCAATGATATCTCTAAACGAACTTCTTACAATATCTTCTGTCTTACTCAAACACGTGCATTATCCTTATCTAATTTATTGAAGCGCCATTACTTGCCATCCCCGGCATTTAGTGCTAGACGCAATTTTTACTGTATTTACCACTCTGTATTTTAACTAATTGTAAGTGTACGAATTACCATAAATTATAGTTATAGGAATATCTTTTTTTCTACGCATTCAATCGTAACTCAAAAGGTTTTGTATTATTCGTTCATGTAATCCGTGTGGGACGTACGCATTTTGTACATATGAGCTATACAGAATGTTTACACTAATGAAATGTTTACGTCAGGTGACAATTGTACGATCTGAAAAAATGTAATTTAAAAAATTTTTTTGTTTTTACTGTAAATTACTTCGTGCCACAACTATATTTCATGTCTATTTCAATCCTGTGAAAGGATTTTCAATTCCGTTTTTCGGAGATATTTATATGACTGTAATGTGTCTTCAATTCCGTCCTATCAGCATCGCCTTAAGGAATATAAATCAATAAATTAAAAAATGGTAAATATACATATACAATAGAAATCTGCTCCGATCATTTTGATCTAGATATACATCATCATGACTTTAAATAATATCATAGGTTTCAACCGTTGCTCGTTGTTCATTAAAAAATTATTGTCAAATAAAGTTGACAGTAGAAAAAGTATATTTATTATAACTTCATAATTTGAATTTTACCTAATACAACAATACATTATTTGTATAATTGCATGTTTAAGTGAATGCGAGAGTAGAGTTCCTAAAAAACGTAATTTAACCGCAAATCTAGTGTTAGTTTCAAATAAAAAATAAGAGGCTTTCTACAATAAGTTGTTTATTGGTATCATAAGTCGTAAGCTATAAGAATTGAATAATCACATTTTTTTGGAATGAGTGCAAGGAAAGAGCACATACAGCACTTCACCCCCATATATATATTACATACTTGATAAAATTACAAACTTACACAATTTTTAAATACCCTATATTAATTGAGTTTATAATTATATGATTTTATATGTGTAAGTTTTTCAATTTTCTACATAAAGCAAGATTTATCCCACATTATTCTTTGCAATATGAAATAAGATTATATTTGAACAGTTCTGAGTTTTCAACTTTTTAAGTTGATTAATTTTTTAATTAAATTAAAATTTTTTTAAAAATGGGAATGCAGAGGAAAGACCTTTGTCTACATGTATATTGATGTTTATTAATATATTTGAATAAAACATGTACGGACAAAAAACTATAGTTTATTTATAAAATTTTTTTTTTAATAATTTTTTAATGAACAAATACAATTCAACGAACAATAAAATCTGTTGAATGTTATTCAGAGTTATGATAAGGTTATGACCTTGACTCTTCTCCGATTTCACTTTAATTTTACATATACTATCAAGGTGATTGGAGTTTCATTATATTTACTTTTTCTTTATATTTACCAGGAAAATATTATATAAGAAAGTAAATACCAGAGTTGGATAAGTTAATATATTTTTTAAAACTAAGTTAAGTTAAAGTTAACAGTTTTAACAATTTAACTTAAAATTAGTTAAGATACAAGTTAATTCATAATAAATTTAATTCAATTAAAAGTTAAGTTAATAAAAAAAGTAATTGAAAAATGAAAAGTTAAATTTTTTTTATTTCATCATTTTAAGGTTTAATAAAGTTTCTAAATAAAGTGTATATTTGTTATACTTATTTCTGAATGGTCGCAGAAAGAAAACAGATTTCGAGGGACTTTTTTCAACATTAGAAGATCCACGAACAGCAATTCCTTCCCGCAGCCAGACTATATTTATTATATTAACAATGCCTTGATATGCGTTCTCAAATTTGAGTTTGAAGATGCAGATATATATTTTTTCTTGGGTTTACATAAGCAGTAAAAATGTAACTCTTAAAGTTAAAGCAAAAGTTAAAGTTATTGATAAAATGTAATTAAATTAAATGAAAATTATTTAACTGTCTTTTTACTATAGGCATTACCTAACCCTAGTAAATAGTATAAGAAAAAAATGGTCATTAAATGTGATTAAATGTGTATGATATATAATGTAGTTTAATATATATGTTCTTTAAAATCTGAGTTATCTCTTATAATTAGGCCGCTCTGCGGATAGAAATGCAAAGAGATCTAAATAATATTTTTCGTAACAAAATTTCAATAATCTACAAATACCCAGCTTTATTTCATAAAATAGTCTGTTTCGGGTTTTGGCCATAGCACATTTATATGTATTGTTACGCCCGTGTCTACGCCCGCGTCGTTCGATGTACCAGCGAGCCGGTCCAGCTGTCAGATGTTTCCCTGACGACGCGTTGTCGTCTGTCAAACGGACGTCATATTAGATTTGGAGATAAGCCGTCGTGCCGTGCGGACGTGCTTCGCTTTGCTCTATCTATTCGCTGCGTTATTTGTTCACAGTCATTACAATAAAGCGTGTTCCTTGTTTTCTTAATTTGGTGTTCCTTTTATTCCTCCCGCGGCCTTCCGGTGCGCGAACGCGAGTGCGGAAGCGCGTACGTTACGCGAGCGAGTGCGTGAACGCGATATTCACCGTCCCGGGCGTAACAGTATTAACGCCATAATTAGTATGTATTATGTATTATGTATCATTATTTATTTTTCAATGTATTGTAATCTATTGAAACTGTATGTATATACGAACAATTACAATGTAAGTGTATTGCAAAAATTACAAATAGAAATATTTTATTTAAAAATATTTACATTCTACATACAAGAAGTTCTATAATATATTTGAAGGTGTATTATCTTTTAATTAGTTTAAATTAATTTTCCTTAGTAATATAAAAAATCCATCCAGAGAACATTATGACATTTAAAAATACCTAAAAAACATTAAAAATTTTGAAATATGTTAAAATTTAACTTTTACGGAATTATCAAAGAACATCATTCTCAGATAATCAAGCGACGCAGTAACGGCGCAACGCCAGATTTGAATTCGAAATACGGATCCAGATCCGATATTTTTATTATTCGGGTATCTTAAAAGATTCGGATATCCGTATAACCCGAATTTGAAGCGTCATTTATTCGTAATCCGGATAAATGGATATCCAGATATCGTCAAATCCGAACGAATCTTGAAGCCCTAATTCACAACGCCCCAAGCAAGCGATTGTCCGTCAAGATGCGTTTTTATGTGAGGTTACGCGCGCAGTTCGAAAACATAACGTATCCTTGTGTATCATCATTGCATGTATATCCTTGCTGTTTATAAATGAGAATAATAAAATGTTTAACGCGATAACAAATTAACGATGATATTTTATAATTGTTAATTATAATTAAGATTTACGAAATCGGAATAAACTATTGCCTTTGTTTAAAGTCTATTATTTAATAATAGGGTATTAACGATGATATCTGAAATCTGTTTGTATGTAAATTGTTAATTTAAACTTAGAAATCGCACTAAACTATTTATAACATTTGTTTAAAGTATATTATTTAATAATCGGATAAAGATATTAATGATCCATCCTTTGATAATTGTTATTTAGCATTAATAAATTCAACAAAATAAGTTCTAAACCTCTTACATTATTCATTTGTTTATAATGCGATATTTAACAATTAAGTTAACAATGATATCTGAGATCTGCCTATGTAGTAATTGTTAATTAGGATTTAGAAATTAGTTTAAACTATTGCAACTGTTTAAAATCTATTATTTAACAATCGGGTGAAGATACCGATGATCTATCTTTTTGGTAATTGTTATTTATCACTATAATTAAGATTCAGATTTGTTTAAAATCTGTTATTTAATAATCGGGTATTAACAATAATATCTGAGATCTGTTTATGCATTAATTTTTGATTAGAACTTAGAAGTCGGTCTAAACTATTGCAATTGTTTAAAATCCATTATTTAACAATCGGGTAAAAATATTAATAATCCACCTGTTCAGTAATTGTTATTTAATACTAGTAAATCATATAAAAAAGGTTCTATATCTTTCGCGCTATCATTTGTTTATAACGCGATATTTAACAAGTTAACGACGATATATCTGAGATCTGTTTGTGCAGTAATTGTTAATTAGGACTTAGAAATCGGTCTAAACTACTACAATTGTTTAAAATCCATTATTTAACAAATGGATTAAGATATCGATAATCCATCTCAGTAGCTGTTATAGGCCGGTTCTAATTTATGAGGCTATGAGGGGGGGTGAGGGGCAGGGGGTTCGCGGGGGGTCCGCGGGAGGGGGGGGTCCGCGTTGGAAGCCGCGAGGAAGGGGAAGCCGCGGGGAGGGGAAACCGCTCAGAACGTTCACGGTCTGATGTGGGGTCCGCGGGGAGGGGGAAGCCGCGGAAAGCCGCTCGATCAGCTGGCCTGACCGCGGGGACGTGGGTGCGGGTGTTGCGGGGAGAGGGGAACCGCGTTGTAGGTCCGGATCCGCGGAACGGGGAACCGCGTCGTGGTGCGGGATGCGCGGGGAGAGGGGAACCGCGCTCACCGTGTTTCGCCGTCGCGTTCGCCGCCGCCGCCGTTGCGCACGGGCCCCACCCCACGCTTATCGCTCGCGGACCCACCCGTTATCGCTCGCGTTTGCGAAGAGGAAGAGAAGAATTAAAGAAAATATTATTAGGATTAAAATTAGAAAAAATTTATTTGCAATTTATGTACTAAATGTAATTATAAAAAATAATGAATATATATGATATTATTATATATTCGGCGCAAATCCGCCTATCCGTTGCCATCTGCAACAGACAAAGAAGACATATTTAAAATGTGTAAAAAGAAAAAGAAAGAAGGATAGCTAGTAAAAAAATACTCACGTTAATGGTAGAAGCAAACGGTTCTACTTCCGGTGGCTATGTCTAGGATGACACGCCTCCTCGTGAGAGCTGTCTGGCGCCTGCGGGCTTCGCGGAGGCATCCTCGCCCTCGTCTGCGGGCTACCCTGCAAGCTCTCCTGCGAGCTCACAGGAGGGCTCGTCCTCGCGTCCCATGACGCCTCCTTCTTTCTTCGTCGAATTACATCGCGCGCGAGAATCATGCAATGGGTGGAATGGAGATACCGCGGGAGGGATCTGCGGGATCACCCGCGGAGGCGTCCTCGCGCCGCTGTCATCGTCATCGTCGTAGTCATCATCGTCATCGTCGCTACTCAGAAGGTAGCTCTGAAAGAAAAAAATATCGTCTTTATCCTAGATAAAAAACATCGATGTGATCTG